AGACATGGACAAGAAAACTGGAACCATACATTTTCTTAGTAAGTTAGATATTGTAATTTCCCATGACATCCCTTGTGGAAAGGCTGAGTGTAGTATCGGATTAATTTTTAGGTATGTAGTAGGTTCTTACACAATGTTTTTGTGGGGTAAATATAAAATACCTAAAATTAAGATACTGGCTACAACTTCTCTATGTTCTGTGTTAGATAATAAAGCACAGCTACAAAGGTATCTGAGAGCACATAGAGCCCAAGTTTAACATCATCTGTGAACATCAGTTTTTTTCTTTTTCAACTCACATTTTACCCTTTATTTCAATGACCACCTTCACAAATGTAGCTTCAGCAGATCATATGCAGTCAAAAATGTATTTATTTTTCCCCCTTGTCTTCTAAGATATGCAATTGCTGTCTTTACATACACCTGCAACCAGCAGAGGTATTGTAAGACATAGAAGAACTCATACTACACTGAGGCTGCTGGTTATGGTAAATTGGATACAAATTGAACCAAGGAAAGTTATTCCTGTAAGAGTTTTCTTTGCTCTCTACATCTTGTTGGCAACGGGTATTAGAAACACCCTTGTGTTAACAAACACATTTTGTCCACGCTAATGATAGCTTGGGGCAGTGCCTGTTTACAGTCAACTGATTAAGCACTTAGCCAGTCATTAATTAAGGCTCATAATCAGAAATACACTATGGGACCAATTAGCAACAGTTTAATGAGTAGGCATGCAGATTATGTAAGTGGTTAATGAAGTAAATATGTAGCAAACTGTAATTAATAAAGAAACACAAATATGCAGTGTATTGACTGTGTTAGCCAACATGATTTAAGTTACAACACTGCTACCACTGCAACAAAAGAAGGTTTTGTTTGAGAGAAAGAATTTTAAAAATGATTTATACAATTCAAACTCAAAAATAAACCAACAAACAAAAAAATGTAACTCATGGTGGTTGACATTTTCTTTCTTTAGAATGGATATGTTGCATTTTTAAATAACAATGACTTTTAGAGTGCATAAAAATATCATTGTATGAAGAATGATCTCTGATACAGATAAACATAAACAAGTCTATATATTGACGAAAACTTAATAAAGCAAATGTTTCCTAAAGTGTTTTTCATCTTATCTCACAGTATGTGTATAGTGTGAAAGGCCCTGAATATATATATATATATATATATATATACATATATATACATATATGTATATATATAAAAACCTTACTAAAAATGTTGGAGTATAGTATGTCAGAATGATCTCATGAAACCATGCCATGAAAATATCATTAAAAATATAATAGTGTAGTATGTCATAATAATGTATTGAAAATTGTCAAGGTATAGCATCTCATAAAAATCTCATGAAAAACGTCATAGTATAGTAAGTCGTCTGAAATCATGAAAAAATGTCACAGTATAGCATGTCGTCCAAAATCATGATAAAACGTCATAGTATAGCATGTCGTCCGAAATCATGAAAAAATGTCATAGTATAGCATGTCGTCTCAAATCATTAAAAGATGTCATAGTATAGCATATCATCCGAAATCGTTAAAAAACATCATAGTATAGCATGTCTTTCCAAAGTGTGAAAAAAAATGTCATAGTATATCATGCCGTCCAAAATCATGAAAAAAGTCACAGTATAGTATAATTCATGTAAAAAGTCATTAAAAATGTCATAATATTTTACGTCGTCTGAACTTCTGAAAAAAAGTCATAGTCTAGCATATCCTCTGAAATCATGAAAAAAAGTCATAGCATAGCATGTCGCGAAAAATCATGAAAAAAAGGCATAGTATAGCATGTCGATCAAAATAATGAAAAAAAGTCATAGCATAGCATGTCGCGAAAAATCATGAAAAAAAGGCATAGTATAGCATGTCGATCAAAATAATGAAAAAAAGTCATAGTATAGCATGTCGCCCAAAATCATGAAAAAAAGGCATAGTATAGCATGTCGCCAAAATCATGAAAAAAAGTCATAGTATAGCATGTCGTCCAAAATCATGAAAAAAAAGTCATAGTATAGTATGTCACCCAAAATTATGAAAAAACGTCAGTCTAGCATGTTGTCTAAAATCATGAAAAAGTCATAGTATAGCATGTTGTCCAAAATCATGAAAAAAAGGCATGGTATAGCTTGTCGTCCAAAATCATGAAAAAATGTCATAGTATCGCATGTCGTCCAAAATCATGAAAAGAAGTCATAGTATCGCATGTTGCCCAAAATCATGAGAAAAAGGTATAGTATAGTATGTCGATCAAAATCATGAAAAAAAGTCATAGTATAGCATTTCATCTAAAATCATGAAAAAAAGTCGTAGTATAGCATGTTGCCCAAAATCATGAAAAAAAGGCATCATATAGCATGTCGATCAAAATCATGAAAAAAAGTCATAGTATAGCATTTCATCTAAAATCATGAAAAAAAGTCGTAGTATAGCATGCTGCCCAAAATCATGAAAAAAAGGCATCGTATAGCATGTCGATCAAAATCATGAAAAAAAGTCACAGTATAGCATGTCGTCTAAAATCCTGAAAAAAAGTCATAGTATAGTATATCGCCCAAAATCATGATAAAACGTCATAGCATAGCATGTCGATCAAAATCATGAAAAAAAAGTCATAGTATAGCATGTCGTCTAAAATCCTGAAAAAAAGTCATAGTATAGTATGTCACCCAAAATCATAATAAAACGTCATAGCATAGCATGTCGCCCAAAATCATGAAAAAAGGCATAGCATAGCATATCGTTCAAAATCATGAAAAAAAGTCATAGTATAGCATGTCGTCCGAAATCATGATAAAACGTCATAGTATTGCATGTTGATCAAAATCATGAAAAAAAGGCATAGTATAGCTTGTCGTCCAAAATCATGAAAAAATGTCATAGTATAGTATGTTGTCCAAAATCATGAAAAAAAGTCATAGTATCGCATGTCGTCCAAAATCATGAAAAGAAGTCATAGTATAGCATGTTGCCCAAAATCATGAAAAAAAGGCATAGTATAGCATGTCATCTGAAATCATGAAAAAAAGTCATAGTATAGCATGTTGTCTAAAATCATGAAAAAAAGTCATAGTATAGTATGTCGTCCAAAATCATGATAAAATGTCATAGTATCGCATGTTGATCAAAATCATGAAAAAAAGTCATAGTATAGCATGTTGCCCAAAATCATGAAAAAAAGGCATAGTATATAGCATGTCGTCCAAAATCATGAAAAAAAGTTATAGTATAGCATGTCGTCAAAAATCATGAAAAAAAGTCATAGTATAGCATGTCGTCCAAAATAATGAAAAAAAGGGATAGTATAGCATGTCGTCTGAAAATCATGAAAAACAGTCATAGTATAGTATTGTTGTCCAAAATCATGATAAAACGTCATAGTATAGCATGTCATCCGAAATCATAAAAAAAGTCATAGTATAGCATGTCGTCTGAAATCATGAAAAAATGTCATAGTATAGCATGTCGTCTGAAATCATAAAAAAAGTCATAGCATAGTATGTCGCCCGAAATCATGAAAAAATGTCATAGTATAGCATGTCGTCCGAAATCATGAAAAAAGTGATAGTATAGCATGTTGTCCGAAATCATGAAAAAAAGTCATAGTATAGCATGTCGTCTGAAATCATGAAAAAATGTCATAGTATAGCATAATTCATGAAAAATTCTTTAAAAATGTCATAGTACGGTATGCCGAAATGAAATTGAGAAAAAAAGTCATAGTATAGCATGTCATCCAAAATAATGAAAAAACACATAGCATAGTATGTCGTCCGAAATCATGAAAAAAAGTCATAGTATAGCATATCGTCTGAAATCATTAAAAAATGTCATAGTATATCATGTCCTTAATTATGAAAAAAGTGATAGTATAGCATGTCGTCCAAAATCATGAAAAAAACGTCACAGTATAGCATGTCGTCCAAAATCATGAAAAAACGTCATAGTTTAGCATGTCGTCCAAAATAATGAAAAAAAGACATAGCATAGTATGTTATCCGAAATCATGAAAAAAAAGTCATAGTATAGTATAATTCATGAAAAATTCATTGAAAATGTCATAGTATTTTACGTCATCTGAAATTATGAAAAAAAGTCATAGTATACCATATCCTCTGAAATCATTAAAAAAATGTCATAGTATATCATGTCCTAAATCATGTAAAAACGTAATAGTATATCATGTCGTCCAAAATCATGAAAAAAGTCATAGTATAGCATGTTGTCCAAAATCATGAAAAAAAGTCATAGTATAGCATGTCGTCTGAAATCATGAAAAAAAGTCATAGTATAGCATAATTCATGAAAAATTCTTTAAAAATGTCATAGTATGCCGAAATGAAATTGCGAAAAAAAGTCATAGTATATCATGTTGTTCAAAATAGTTGAAAAATATCATAGTACAGTATGTCATCCAAAATCATGAGAAAAAGCCATAGTATAGTATGTCGTCCGAAATCGTGAGAAAACGTCATAGTATAGCATAATGCATGAAAATTTCATTAAAAATGTCAGTATAGTATGTTATTAAAATTTCATTAAAATGTCATAGTATAGTATGTCGTGAAAATCTAATGAAAAATGTCATAGTATAGTATGTCATCAAAATTTCATTAAAAACGTCATAGTTGCATATAAAGTACATACTTAAGACACAAACGCATACCTGCTTATTTTAATGATATTCCCTCTTGTGGTGAAACCAACTAGCTACACTTACAGAAACAATAAAATTTCCACTTTGCCAGTTGTGACGAAGATCATTTCCAGAGGTTGAGGATTCCCCCAGTTTCAAAAATTAGTCTCCTTCTTCCACATTGCGAGGATCTTGATGGTTCAGTGGGTTAGTATGTGGCCAATTCAGTATGCATTTTAGGAGCCAAAGAGTTGATGGTTCAAATCCCATCTTTGAGCAACATAAGCACACACATGCAGGGCTTCAACATTTTAAAATTCTGCCACATCTTTCAAATATTACAAGTTTTATTCATCTTTTTTATTGCACAAAAATACTGACACAGAAATGCATTTCAGTTCATTTTCAATCAACTTCGTAGATTTGATCATTGATGACACCTGGAGCTGTGTCTGATTGGTTTGTTTTTCAGGAGTGGAGATTTATGACATCACTACTAACACCAATACTACTACTACTTCTTCTGCAGTCACTGTATGTTGCAGTGGATTCAATCTGCTAGTATGATCAGTGTCAGAGTGGACAGTGTTTCTGGCTGTTGCCTGGGAGACAAAACTTCAGTTACACAAATAGGAGAGTTGAATTTATTATTTACCAAGAAAATCAAAGGTTATACAGCAGCAACAGTAGTCATCACTGTACGACAGACTGGAGATTCATGTCACAATACTGTGTTTTACAATGGCAGTTTGTTTAATCATTTTTTGGTTAATTTTCAAACTTAATTCCAACAGATAAAGTGGGCTGGTGCAACCTGTAAAAGACAAAATGGGGTACATTACTGATTCTGACAGTGAAAATGATTGCAATGGCTACGTGAAACAGTCTTTGTGGAATGACATTTAATTCTGAAGGTGTTTCTGTTACTTGACACACTTCTTGCTAATTCCTAATTAAGGCACCAAATAATTCTTCTCACAGCTAAAAGTAACTATTAGGAGTTAAGCACATGAGTAGGAATCAAACTAACAGTATTAAATCTGTGTAATTTTGATGTGTAGTTCCTTCAGACTCTCAGGGCTGGCTTCAGGTCCATCTTCTGAGGTCACATAACCAGGATAAGTGGGGTAAAACTGGGGAGGTGGTGGTGGTTTAGTGCCACCATCTGCTGTCCCTGATGATGAGGGTAGGAACAGTGGTATCAACTTGGCGTGAGCATAGTCAATCTCAAAACCCTCAAAGATAAGCCCCACCCCCCAGGCCCCCAAACCCCCTTCAAGAAGCCTCGACGCCTTCAGGGTTGCCAGCACCAGTCCCTCATAGTCCTCTTTTTCCAGTCTGAATATATCAGAGGTCAAAGGTCGGCGTGGGACCAGCACAGTAAAGCCAGGTGAGTTCGGGAATGGAGTGAGAAAGGCCACATGACCTTCGTCTTCCCACACCCGCCACTGCTGCTCCTCCCCACGAACGATGCGTGAAAACAGGCCAGGGTGAGCTGGATCGTCCCCCAGGAAAGTCAGATTGGGCGGAGCGTCTGGCGATGGGAGCTTGGCTCGAATCTTGCTTTGGATTTCAGTTAGGCTGGAGTCACTCCATCGGGGAGCGGTCTTGGAGGTGCAGTACCCCGGGTCCTGGGCATTGTGCTCTTCGTCTCCTGCCAAGTGAGGCCGCCACTCTGCATCTACACCATGTAGAGGGAGGATACGAATCTGTGGAAATGAAAATAAATGTATATTTAATTACGAATATTAAATAAATTACCAAAATTTACTGTGGTCACTCTGTCAAATGCAGCATAAGTTGGGCTAAACTGGATGTTTCTGATGAAAGGTAATTAATAATTGACTATAATACACTGTAAATATGACTTCCTTACTCTTGTCTTCCCTCAAGTAAACTAGAATTACTGCCTTGTGGTTGTTTGTCTCCATGAATCAGTCAAGTTGCAGTTACAGTTAACATCCATGTCTGTCCAGACTCATATGTAACCATAACAGAGGACAATGCTTCAGATACGGATGTTTCAAGATGGGCATCCAAGATTAGTGTCACCAAATCAGTATTTGACCAAATGTGTCCCCTTCTGTTCCTGAGTTCTAACATCTAATAAAGTGAAAATGTAAAAATGTTTTTGCAAAATACTATGATGTCACTGTGAAGCTGACCTTTAACCTTTTGGATATAAAATGTCATACCTTCATTGTTTTATCCTATTAGACATTTGTGTGAAATTTTGTCATGATTAGCATACATATTTTTGAGTTATGGCCAAAAATGTTTTGGGAAGTCACAGTGACCTTGACCTTTGAGCACTAAATTCGAATCAGTTCATCCTTGACTCTACGTGAACGTTTGTGCCAAATGTGAAGAAATCCCCTCAAGGTGTTCTTGAGGGGATTTCACACTCACAAAAATGAGACATGTCAGGTCACAGAGACCTTGACCTCTGACCACCAAAATCTAATGAGTGCCTCGTTGAGTCCTGGTGGACGTTTGTACCAAATTTAAAGAATATCCCTCAAGGCATTCTTCAGATATCGTGACAACGAGAATGGGACAGACAACTCAAAAACATAACGCCTCTGGCCATGGCTATCACCAATATGGAGGCACTAAATTTTCATCGGTTCATCCTTGAGTCCAAGTGGACGTTTGAGCCACATTTGAATCAATTCCCTCCAGGTGTTCTTGAGATATCACACTCACAAGAATGAGACAAACCAGGTCACAGAGAACTTGACCTTTGACCACTAAAATCTACTGAGTTCATCATTAAATTCTAGAGGACATTTCTGCTAAATTAAACAAAAAGATCCCTCAAGGTGCTCTTAAGATATAATGATCACGAGAATGGGACGGACAACTCAACCCATAATGTCTCTGGCCATGGCTATCATCAACGCGGAGGCATAAAAATAAATGTTCTTTTTTTAGTTCCCAATTTACTTATCCATTGAGAGAAACCCCAAATATGTAAATAATGAGTGTGTCTACAAAATAATACCAAATAAATCATCATATTTTTTTCCCACATAACTCCTCTTTAAGTAAACTTTAATTAATGTCCAAGTTGCAAACTCATATTTGCTTTTTTTTGTTCTCACAAGTGTTATTATCATTATCATTATTATTATTATTATTATCATAATTAGTAAAAACTACCCAATTATCTCATGAGGCTTTAGGAGCACACCTATATGTCTGAGACTCATGGGACATAAAACATAAAGTTCAATGCCAGCAACATGTTACTGGCATGTAGCTTCATTCCTTAATTCCTAAATTAACTCCTTCCATGTCCTGGTTGCAATGTACAGTTAATCAGTCTATCCACTGGTCAAACGAAACCCTCACCTGGGCCGGTGTGTCTCTGTGGGGCCTGCTGACCAGTGCACACCTCCGTACACCCAACCTGTCACACAGCAGCTCTGCGACTGCTCTCGCCCCCAACAGCCAGGATAAGTACTCCTGCTTCTCCAGGTGGAAGATGCTACCTCCGACCCTGCCAGGTGTGCTGTGCTGCAGGATAACAGAGCCTGGGGTCCAGGGCCGAGGGTGGAGGTAGGCTACCAGCCCCTCTGACTCCCAGATCACATGACGGGACAGAGTGGAGGACATTCTGTGGAGTCAGTAGGGAGAGGAGGGGATGGAGGAAACAGGGAAAATATGAGGGGAATTTTTAATTGATCAAATCCATTAAAAGTGCAAATTAGAAGACATTTACATCATGATATTGTGATTATCTATGTAGAAAGATTGGGACACTGAAAAGAAGATAATATTTAAAAAAAAAAAAAGAAAGAATTGAATATAAAGAAGTCACAAGTCATATCAAATTATTAACATGTGGATGTTTTGAGCATTGATAAATCAAGGAAACAGAGAAGTGATGTAAATATTTGTGTTTTTCATAAGTCAGTTAGATTTTTAAATTTTACAGCTGTGGCGTATAAAACTATCTTTAATTTACAAAACCAATCCTACTTTATGCAACTTCATACTCCTACTCTACAGCCTTTCAGAGTAAAATACAATACTGCACCACATTTATGTGACTTTTCAGAATGTAAATGTAGGCCTATATATTCACATGCAAAATGTCATCTCATAAAATATTTAAAAAAAATTCAGCTCCACCTCAACTAACTACAATAGTACAATGCTACTTAAACGTGAACATATCAGTAATAATAATCCACTACCACAATGTAAAATAATTTAATACTCACAGGGGCCATTTTTCTGCATTGCAGTGCTTTTACTTATAATACTTTATTTTATTTTTTTTCAACGAACACTTCAATACTTTTATGTAAGTAAAATTATAAAACTGACCTAGTGTCTATCCCTCCCCACCCCAGCTGGCTTAGGATGACCTGTGTTAGTGACGAGAAAAGGAAAAAATAAATAACTACATACATACATACAGGGATATAGGAATAAGTAAGACCAGAAAATGAATAACTACAAAAAAAAAAGAAAACCTAAAAAAAGTTGGAGTTGCTGATGTAGATAATTTCTTTTCCTCCTGAGACCCCATGTCCTCATTTGAGGACATCACATTTTGGGTTTGCTGGACCTCATAATTCATTCTGCTTATCTTAGACCTGTTGTCCTTGTTCGTGAGCACTTTTTTGTGCCATTTATTAGTAGTAAAACCACAATACACTAATCCATGTAAAAACAAGATGGCAGCCATCTCTGCCAAGTCAGTCTGCAACCAACCCCAAAACTAAAGTGGACAAGATCTAAACCCTGATCAAATTTATTGGTTGAAACTTGTTTATTTCAGATTAATAACATTTGTAGTTTGATATAGCAACAAATTTTAACAATTTAAGCCACAGTAACAAGCTGAGACACTGTTAATTAGAAAGTACTCGTTTGAGGACATTGGGATTTTATTGTTGTCTTGTTGGTGAACATTGGGACTTAATTATCGTCCTGTTTTGGGATATTGGGACTTTATTATCATTGACAATGTTTAGTTATTATACTTATCAGGTCCTACTGATCCCAAAAAGCTAGGAGACATTAAAAATGCACACCAAACAAAAGTCAGGATCTCAGGAGATTATAGTTATTTCCATTATAAAGCTGATTTGTCATTCCTAAAATATAAACACACTATTTCAAGGTTTAAGTGTTTGTTTTTTGTAATAATCCATTGTATAAAATCTCAAAATACAAAATTCAATCATCCATTAGTGCATAAACCAACAGTGTATGACATATTACATCATCACCATGTGACTGACTGAGCGAGGGCTGGTGAAATAATGACATATAATTAGTCACAAAGAGAAAACCTGTTTTTTCTTCAATCTATCACCGTTAGCTACCATATTATGACCTCAAGTTGGACGGTTACATGTCAGAAGTTGAAAAAAATAAAACTAAAAAGGTTTTAAATGTAACTTGGGCTTAGTTCACTAACTTTGCTCTAACGTTATGTGATAGTCTGTCGACTTCTAAAAGGTCAAACTGCACTGAAAACTGACAGATGATTATCTGACATGTATGCCGATTTAGTCTGTAGATCGCAGTGAAACAAACAGTCTAAATTATGATGTTAATAAAGTTTTCACTGTGAAAAACACGTCTCTATCACAAAACACCTGTTTTTCCAATGGAGTTTGGTTTGTCTGACAGCCTGTCACAACAGAAACCGGCGCGAGCAGAGGGCATTTGAACGTTAGAAAGTCACATAAATTGCTCAGACCCACCTTCTAATAATGAACCCTGTAAACAGCATAAAGTAACGGAGGAGTTGGTGCTTCAACCGACCTGTTTTCTGCTTCTCTCGGCGAGTAGTAAAAGGTCGCGTAATAAGCACACACAGCGGTCAGTACAGAGACAGCGGCCCCGCCTCGCCACATCCGTCAGAGCACACAGAAACGAAACCGGCACATTTAAAATGCACTAAAAGAAAATGGAAAACACTCAAAACCTGCATCGGCTCACGACTCCAACTTCCTGCCGCTTGACAACACAGAGCATGTTTTCTTCCTCGTTACATTCATTGGAGTTTGGTGAACCAGCTTAAAGGTGCATTACCGCCATCTGCTGGACTGCAGCAGGAAAAACACTGCTACAACTAAACCTGATTTTTAAGTAGCCAAGCTAATTAAATGACATTTCTATCTATCTATCTATCTATCTATCAATCATTATTATTATTTATTTATTTTGTTATTTCCACATTTGGTGTATAATGTCGATTTGTTTATGTACTATGTTGTATTTATGGTTGCGGTATGGGCGTAGAGCCCAAGACAAATTTCCCTGTCGCACAATAAAGTTAATCTTAATCTCTTGATCTTGATTTCTCAATGTAAAGTAGCCCATAGATTCTACATCTATTGGAAACAGGCCTGCAAATTCTGGCTGTTTAGTGGAACTATGTTTGTAATTCAGTTGGATCTTTGCCTCTTTTATGAGACGTTTGATTCTTTGAACAGATAATCCCATTGTTTCCAACACTGAGCTTAAATAGAAACTGCACAGGTATGAGGGAATTAACTAGCTGTGGATATTTGAGACAATGGTGTTGAACACTTGTGATAAAGGTCCAGGAGGACCAAAATGTCAGTGTTATTAGTAAATTGTGAAGCTGAGCAAGAGCAGTGTGCGGGATTTTCTGTTCAAAGACTCAAGTGATATTTTCCAATGCACCTGCATCTGAGACAGTTGGATGTGCGAATACTTTCTTCAAACAAATAAGATGTTTGATTGAAACAACTTAACTTTCATATACAGTACAGGCCAAAAGTTTGGACACACCTTCTCATTCAATGCGTTTTCTTTATTTTCATGACTATTTACATTGTAGATTCTCACTGAAGGCATCAAAACTATGAATGAACACATGTGGAGTTATGTACTTAACAAAAAAAGGTGAAATAACTGAAAACATGTTTTATATTCTAGTTTCTTCAAAATAGCCACCCTTTGCTCTGATTACTGCTTTGCACACTCTTGGCATTCTCTCCATGAGCTTCAAGAGGTAGTCACCTGAAATGGTTTCCACTTCACAGGTGTGCCTTATCAGGGTTAATTAGTGGAATTTCTTGCTTTATCAGTGGGGTTGGGACCATCAGTTGTGTTGTGCAGAAGTCAGGTTAATACACAGCCGACAGCCCTATTGGACAACTGTTAAAATTCATATTATGGCAAGAACCAATCAGCTAACTAAAGAAAAACGAGTGGCCATCATTACTTTAAGAAATGAAGGTCAGTCAGTCTGGAAAATTGCAAAAACTTTAAATGTGTCCCCAAGTGGAGTCGCAAAAACCATCAAGCGCTACAATGAAACTGGCACACATGAGGACCGACCCAGGAAAGGAAGACCAAGAGTCACCTCTGCTTCTGAGGATAAGTTCATCCGAGTCACCAGCCTCAGAAATCGCAAGTTAACAGCAGCTCAGATCAGAGACCAGATGAATGCCACACAGAGTTCTAGCAGCAGACCCATCTCTAGAACAACTGTTAAGAGGAGACTGCGCGAATCAGGCCTTCATGGTCAAATAGCTGCTAGGAAACCACTGCTAAGGAGAGGCAACAAGCAGAAGAGATTTGTTTGGGCCAAGAAACACAAGGAATGGACATTAGACCAGTGGAAATCTGTGCTTTGGTCTGATGAGTCCAAATTTGAGATCTTTGGTTCCAACCGCCGTGTCTTTGTGAGACGCAGAAAAGGTGAACGGATGGATTTCACATGCCTGGTTCCCACTGTGAAGCATGGAGGAGGAGGTGTGATGGTGTGGGGGTGTTTTGCTGGTGACACTGTTGGGGATTTATTCAAAATTGAAGGCACACTGAACCAGCATGGCTACCACAGCATCCTGCAGCGACATGCCATCCCATCCGGTTTGCGTTTAGTTGGACGATCATTTATTTTTCAACAGGACAATGACCCCAAACACACCTCCAGGCTGTGTAAGGGCTATTTGACCAAGAAGGAGAGTGATGGAGTGCTGCGGCAGATGACCTGGCCTCCACAGTCACCGGACCTGAACCCAATCCAGATGGTTTGGGGTGAGCTGGACCGCAGAGTGAAGGCAAAGGGGCCAACAAGTGCTAAACACCTCTGGGAACTCCTTCAAGACTGCTGGAAAACCATTTCAGGTGACTACCTCTTGAAGCTCATGGAGAGAATGCCAGGAGTGTGCAAAGCAGTAATCAGAGCAAAGGGTGGCTATTTTGAAGAAACTAGAATATAAAACATGTTTTCAGTTATTTCACCTTTTTTTGTTAAGTACATAACTCCACATGTGTTCATTCATAGTTATGATGCCTTCAGTGAGAATCTACAATGTAAATAGTCATGAAAATAAAGAAAACACATTGAATGAGAAGGTGTGTCCAAACTTTTGGCCTGTACTGTATATGAAACACCTTTAACATAGACTCTGTAACATAATGCCTAACAATTTTCTTTAAAAAACAACAACAACAACGAAAACACCAATCGGTACTCAAACCCACAGTGACAGATCTGTAAGCCCCCAGAGCCTATTAAAGGTCCACTGTGTAGGATTTAGAAATGGAATATAATATAATTATTATGTTTTCTTTAGTATAATCACCCAAAAATAAGCGTTGTTGTGTTTTTATTAGGGATGCACGATATTGGATTTTTTGCCGATATCCGATACGTCAATATGTAACAACTGATTTTGCAGATAACTGATACTGATATCAACATATCCACTTTTTTCCTTACCTAATTTAAGTGCTTATCAAGTCTCTTCTGTAGTGGAATTATTATAATTAACATAGTTTTTAAAAGCATTTTGGCCAATTCTAATAGTCGCCTTTAAAATGACACGTTGCATAAAGTGGGCAAAAACAATATTAAAATTTTAAAATCTGATCAACTGAACAGTTCAATACATCTAAAGGCGCTGACTACTATGAACAAATCAACAAGTCTGCCTCTGTGTCACAGTGTCACTTTGACCTGTGTCAACACAGCTTATATTCATGTGACAGGCTGACACTGCTCTCCCAAAGTGTGCCATAGTGTTCTGTCAAAAGGTTATGACATCTTCAAAGTCAAGACAGACAAGCTTTCGACTCTCCAACAACAAATGTTGAAAGTGATGATGACAAGCAGAGACTCTGGTTTAGGGCTTTTTTTAAATCCAGCATGTTAGCCCCTTGTGTTGGAACATAAAACCTTTGTTTGCAGTTTGAAGAAATGACACCAGAGGGCACCCTTGAGCTGCAAACAAAGAGGAGTGAATAACTCACTGGTGGAAAAACAGTTCTGAAACAAATGAAACCCCACTGCTGCAACAAAACCTTCAAACTTATGACTCTTTGACTGGCGCACATTACATTTACACCATTTTATCTGATTTCCTGTTTCAGTGGAGCATGAATTCCTCTTATTTCTGTCTCGTTCTCTGAAATACACTGACTTCCTCTTTCTGTGGAATGTCAACATAAAAACCCCACTGACTAGGTCACCACCCACTTCTCCAGTTACTACAGCTTGAAATGACTCACTTCACACACACACACACACACACACACACACCCACACACACACAAAGCCACACAAACACACACACAGACTTGAATTTTTATACTTGTGAGGACCTTCATTGACAAAGAACATTCCTTAGCCTTTCATCTAATCCTTAACCATCACAATTACTGCATTTCCCCTAAACATAACCTAAACATAATTCCAACCTTAAAACTAAAAAAAATCCTTAAACAGCAATTTGAAAAAGCGAGGACACACGCAAAAATGTCCTCATTCTACAACTTTACAACACTGGTCCTCACAAAGATAGACATACAAGATCGCACACATACACACATACACACACAAATATTGCTTTAAGTGCCAAGCTGCTAAATGTTTTCACTACTCTTGCACACTTGAATTTTCGAAAGCATTATGGTTAATGTGAGGAAAATAAAAGGAAGAGAATAAAGGAAGCATGTTCTCTAAGCAAAGCAAATATTTTACATTATGGAGTGGGGTTGATCACATACTGTAGGCCTATTTCAAACATATAGCACACGACATCACTCCTCATATACTGCAGCAAATGTCATTCATATTTTCTTTATAGTTTTCATGTATAAGGGAACTATGGGATGTCTCGTCATTTCATTTAGTGATCCATTCTTAGAGAAACTGACGATTTACTTGTTTGTGCTGTAAAATATGCGTGGTATGTTAAACATTAAGTTTGGTTTCATGTGGTTTCGCATGAAAGACAGTTTGCAAATGTGTCGTCCCACTTTCTGGGAGTAAATCTGTCCTCCTAATCTGCAGCCCATGACCTCAGTAATGAGCTCAGCTGCTCAGAGATCCTCTGCGGAGCATATCAGCCGGAGAGCAGCACGATGATTCACCCAGCTAGAGTGGGCAGAGGGTCACACAGAGTGAAATTCAAGAGTGGAGTACAGAAATACTCAAATATATCTCTCAAGATAGAAGTGCTCTAACATGTTATATTTAAATTTCTGGTGTAAAAGTTTGCTCAAGATCAAGAAGTTAACTTTCAGCAGGAATGCGTCAGTTACAGAGTGCTCTAGAATGAGTCCTAAAACCCGGAAATGAATTAGCACTTTAAAACTCCTGATTCCCTCGTCTTGAAGTCAATGGGTTTTAGTTAGATGCCTGAAGTAAGGTCTGTGGGTACCACAAGCTTAGGACACTTTCACATTCCCCACTTGTGAATCTTGAAGCTGTTACGTGTCTTCAAAAAGGCACAAAGGTTGCTATCAAGTGGCTAAGTGAGACTAAAGGACGTCATCACACTGAACATGGTTTCACAGCCTTGTTGTGATGGCGACGATAAAGTCATGTGACCGCGCTATAGTTCGTTTATAGCTCAACGTTAGCTTTTACTTCTGGTGATTGCATTCAGGCTTCAAAAATCATAAAAGTGATGTTCATCTGCAAGGATTATCTTCCTGAACGTAACATGTCAGTATCATAAACGTTGGTTTGTCACAGAGCTTATT